TTACTTAAAGGAGCATGGGTGACTAAGACAGCTGTACCACAGAGCAGCCCACCACAGTACGGGTGATAACTCCCAGAAGCTGCATCTCAGAGGCTCCACGCACAACTTGCAGACAGCTAGCCAAAAAAGCTTCCTTTATAACCTTGGGTAGGAGGGACCTTATACATCTTGTTTTATTTACTTTCTGAGTCTTAGAGCTGCCTCTACTCTCTAGAAAGGAATGTTTCAATTGGGAGGGAACAGCTAGCTAGCTACACAGTAGATTGGTTCTTATGCAGTAGCTGACATGCTTGTTTTGCCCACATGACTCCACAAGCAAGCACAATGCTTATGTGAACCTTGTAAAGGAAATGAAGGCCACTCCATTACTTGCTCAAGGTTGCAGAGTCAATACATGGGGAGTGAATGCCTGGAATTAGTTTGATTCCCAAAACCATTTTTAGAGGCTGTGCTAAATTGCCTCCCTTCTGATTGGCTGGGAAGGAGAGTAGGGAGGGAGGAGATGACTGTATAGACTTACATGGAAAAAGTGAGAGGCCAGGCAGATTTCTGGTGGTGAGACCACAGTGCCTACCTGGGAGTGGTCTGTGGTTGCTAGGCAACTCAGCTTGCCTTGTCCTGATGATGAAAGAGAGAAGTAGCAGCACTCTGTGGCTGCCACAGCAGAGGATGCATCTGGCCAGGGACCTACCTGGTCTGCCATTGACACTCATCCAGCAGGAGGGGAGGAAGGTACTGCTCTGGGAACAGAGGCCATCACTTGGTCCTTCCTTGAAGAAGGCCAGCTGTAGGACATGCAGAGTGGAAATTAACAGTGTAACTGCTTCTCCACAGCTGACCACAGGAGTAGAGTATTTGGTCACTGTGAAGATTGGCCGGACCAAATGTAAGAAAAGCGAGGAAAGAAAAGCTTCCTGTCCCCTGCAAAAAAACAAGCTGAAAAAGGTGTGTGACAGGTGGTATGACGGCTTCAAAGCTGAGAACATGTGTGTGTGTGTATGTGTGTGTGTGTGTGTGTGTGTGTGTGTGATACTCAGATGTGCTCAGTGGATGTGGGCAGCTTGTCTAGCCCTGAGGATCAAGGCCTGCAAGGGCCCAGGCCTGGGGCTACCTGACACTTCCCGAGGGAGGAAGGCTGTTGGGCTGGGCAATCTGACCACCCAAGGCAGCACAGTTATAGACCCGGGTGTCTGCTTCTCTCCACACAGCCCCCAGGGTGCAAGTGGAATTTGTTTCTCTTCGGGGGTCCTTGTATTCTGTGGGTCACTGGACTGTTCAGTCTTCCCAGTTTGGCTGTCCTTTTCTGTTTAGCCTGGTCCCATGGCCAGCTGGTAGATATGAGCATTTCTTCCTGTTTTAGAGTGTAGGTCCAGGGGTAGGAGGAGAGGGACAGGGTCATTGCCCTGCCCTGTCATCCCAGATCCTGTCTAGACTGAGTGCTCCAGATGTACCTGTCGTGGATTCCAAGTGAGCAGCCAGCCATCCCTCTTGTCCCCACTGTATGACTGTAGGCAGTTCCTTTCTGAGTCCCCTCAGGGGCTGAAAGGCAGGAGCCTTTTTATCCAGTTTGAAAAACATTTCCAGGGCTGGAGAGATGGCTCAGCAGTTAAGAGCACTGGCTGCACTTTCAGGGGACCTGGGTTAGGTTCTCAGCACCCACAGGGCAGCTAATAAGAGTTTCAGGGGATCCTATGCCCTCTTCTGACCTTTTCGGGCACTGTACAACACAGGTGCACTTCCATACATGCAGGCAATACTCTGATATGCAAAAAATAAAGATAATAAATATTAAAAATTCCCCTAAAACTGATTCTGTTCTTTCCTCTTCCACAGACCCTGATTTGCATGTTTTTGATATATACGGTGCCCTGGGTGAACTATTACCAGCTCTGGAACAATTCCTGTCAGGATGGCTGAGTGTTCAAAGACCTATGATGACACCCAGATAACTGCGTTGTGCACATTTTTTTTAAGTTCTAAAAGGCCGTATGCACCCCCCTCCTCCATGGAGGGTCTGTCTACATACACAAGCACACATACAGAAACACACACATGCTTATTTGTCCTTACAACCCTGACTCTCACCAACACTCATGCTAGCAGCACCTCCACACACATGGATACTTCATACTCACACAGAAACGCACTTGAACAAACACACTCCTGGCCTCACACACATGAACTCACACCACTCAAACACACATGCAGATATTTCCATAACACCTCCCATGTCTTCCCGCACTCCTATCTTCATGTACACACCTCACAGATCTCATAGATATTTGGTGGTCATCAGGGCTGGTGCAATTTGAGAGGATGCTGACATCTTTGGGGAGCTTCACAGTTCTTTCTACTTCAGGCCCATGCTTCAACTTTTTCTGGGCTCAAACACAGCCCTCATCACTTGCCTGAGTATGAGGAACTCTATACGCTACTTGGACACACAACACTGTGATTCACATTTCACAGCAGTGCATGTCTGAAGTCTTCACAACCCCTGTGTGTATTCAGTACAATTGTACCAAGGCTGTGACTTACTATGGCCAAAGGACATGCAGCAGCATCAGCAGGAGGAGGTATAGGATAGTAGCCCAGGAGAAGACAGGCAGAAACTCCCAGAATCCCAGTGCAGCCCACACAGGGTGCACCTGATTTCCAGTAGCGAACTGTGATGGCACCTGTGACACACTGTCTGCCAGGGACCAGGGTTCAGCATCAGAGACTCAGTGCTCAGGGTGTTGCTTGAGGCTGTTCCCATAGGCACCTCTGCTTGGCATGTGCCAAATTCCAGATTCTAGAAGGAGAGAGGTACTGGACATAGACCTTATTTGTGTGCATAGTATAGGCATATGGAAGTCCATAGGTGGAATTCCAACATCAGTATGGGGAATAATTACCCTCTAGGCCCTCAGACTCCATGCAAGACACAGTTAGCCTGCATTCTTACTTCCCTATGGTGATCTCTTCAGGCATGGACATGGTGGCTCACCCTTGTAATCTTAGCCTTCAGGAAATGGGGTATTGCTGTGAGTCTGAGACCAGCCTGGGCTATAGAGTGAGATCCTGTCACAAAATGAATGAATAAATATCAAAAAAATACGTAACTAGTGGTACTGACTTAAGCTTTTTCAGTCTCTAAGGTCTTCTTTATTTTATATTTATAGGGTGAGAATAATTGTTCAATTATTTATTAGTTTATGCGATTTCATATTGACACTATTCTTTTTATTTTAAAATTTTAATTTTAGTGTGTGTGTGTGTGTGTGTGTGTGTGTGTGTGTAAAGGCCCAACTGTGGAAATAGTGTGTATGGAGATTCATGTACACTGCCATGGCTTCTGCTGAGCCCCTGCTCTAGGTCACCTGCGTTTGGATTCCTGCCTGTGTTAGGCATGGTGATTCATCATCATGTTCAGCCTTTGTAACAACTCCAAGAAGGCAATACAGTTTGCCTCAGCTAAAGTGTGATCCTAGACATTTAACAGAGGGAATCCTATCTGGGACCTCCTGAAACATTCCGAAGTTCAATGGGAAAGAATACAAACCCAAGCCCTACCACCAGAAAGTTCCCAGCCAGTCCAGACTCGGGGAGCCACAACAGGACTTGTGTGCTTCCAAGATCACAGTTCATATCCATTGGTCTTCTGCTTGTGTCCTCCAGCCCTACCCTCTCTGAGCATGTCAGCCCATTTCCCTGTGGGCAGTCTGTGGCTTCCTCTGCCTGGAGCCACCCCAGCTCAGAAGGGTCAGGGAAATGATGCTCCTGGAAGCCACCTCTGGCAAACCCCAACTGTAACTATTGGACTACTGGAGAAATACCCCAACTTCTATCTGCCTTCAGGGAAACTGGAAAACCAATCTCTCTCCCTTCCCCTCCCCACCCCCTCCCCCTCTCCTCTCCCCCCTCCCCCTCTTCCTCTCCCTCTCTTTCTCCTTCTTGGTCTTATTTTTTACCGAATTATTTTGTTTTTAATTATGTGTATGTATGTTTGTGTCCATATGCATGTGCACCAAAAGAGAGCATTTGGTCCCCTGGAGCTGGAGTTACAGGCAGTTGTGAGCCACCTTACATAGGTACTGGAAATCAAACTCTGGTCCTCTGGAAGGGCAGCAAGAGCTCTGAACCACTGAGCCTTCTCTCTAGTCCTTTTCCTGGCATGAGGCTTTTCTCTTTATACCAGACACGAATAAGGATGAGTGAGCTGCTGGCAGCTCTCCTGATACCACATGGGGGAAGTTGTACAGAAGGGGCCTAGGACATTGGAGTCCTGGGTTGAGCTGCTGGGTGAACTTCCTGTTAATGTGCCTGGAAAGTGCCATGGCTTGAGTATGGTTTGTGATTCCCATATTCCTGTGGAGATTTAATCTGTATCATGAGGCACCTGTCTTACCTTAGGGGGTGATTGGAGTCCACCCACATGAGTAGATGAATTTACTTGTGTAAATGGGCTAATGATTTACTAGATCGTTCTGAGAGTGGGTCTGCTCTAAAAGCCAGCTTGACCAAGTCTCTGGCTCATTTCCTGCCTCATGCTATGCCACCTTGGAACTTGGTCAAAAGGAAGGTGTCCCTACATGGCGCTCTTTAACCTTGGACCAGAACTATGAGCCCAAATAAACTAATTTATCTGGTGTATTTTATAACTCACCAAGTCCAGTTTGTGCTGCTCATAGACTCATGGGTGTGGAGCCATCCACTGGAGCATGGTGGATATACCTGGGTCCACATCCCTAAAGATGACATGAAGTTGGGGGTTGTGAGGGGCTGGGGTGAATGTGGGAGGAGTTGGGGGAAGAGTAGGAAGCAAATATAAAAATACACTGCATGCATGTATGAAATTCTCAAATAATTAATAAAAGTATTATAAGCTGGGAATGGTAGCACACACACTTATAATCCCAGCATTTGGGAGGCAGAGGCAGGTGGATTTCTGTGAGTTGGAGACCAGCCTGGTTGACGTAGTGAGTTCCGGGTTGCCAGGGCTACCTAGTGAGGTCCAGTCACAAAACAACAACAACAACAACAAAAACCCACAAAAATACTATATTGAAAACTACACTTAAATAAATGCCATGTTAAGTTTGTCAAAGAGTAGAAACTCTGGGATTCTAGTGATACTAGACTTCTGTCATGGAGAAATTGAACTAGCAACTTTAAAGGTCTCCATTCAAATATCCCCTTTCTGGAATGCAGTGGCTAGTAGCATTGGCTTTTGAGGTTTTTCCCTTAGCTTTGCCTCTTGATCCCTTCTTCAAATTATGACACCTATTTCCTAACTGGTTAAATAAGGAAAATAATAATCTTTTAAATGATACTGGTGAATACTAAGGTTTATAAGACTTGTTTAGTACTTTGTAAGTTCCTTACCCATAATGGACACAGGAATAGTTATAACCAACATCATGATTAATGCCATATTTTAAAAAATATTTTATTATTTTTATTTTATGTATATTTGTGTATTGCCTGCATGTATGTAAGTACACCCGTGTCGTGCAATGCCACGGAGGTCAGAAGAAGGTTTCAGATTCCCCTGGAACTGGAGTTAAGGATGGTTCACGGCCGCCATGTGGGTGCTGGGAATCAAACCTGGGTCCTCTGCAAGAGCAGTCGGTGCTCTTAACCACTGAGCCATCTCTCCAGCCCCCTAATTCCATATTTTTATGCATCAATTTCACTTAATGTGAGATTTAAGATTTTTAAAAATTTATGTTTGTGTGTGGGTATGTGCCCGTGAGTGCATGTGCCAGTTGAGATCAGCTTTGGATCCCCCTGGAGCTGCAGTTACAGGTGGTTGTGAGCTGCCTATATGGGTGCTGGGAACTGAATTGGGCCCTCTATAAGAGCAGTTATGTGGTCTTAACCACTGAGCTATCTCTCTAGCTCTAACCTGAGATGTTTTAAATGATATTAAGCACATAATGAACAATTCATTTAAAGTCTGTTTCTAAGTAATTTGTTATGAACTGAAGAATTCATGGGGGAAAAAAGGAAGCCCAGTATGACGACCACTAAGAGAAGAAGCCGACATGTTTATTGTGAGAGTTGAAGGTTACTGTCAATTGCAGGATGCCCCAGCACAGTGGCCACCGCGTGTGCTCCAGTGCACTCAGTCATTGGTACACTTCTTGTTGAGAATTTTGTATTTTTCAACCCAGGGTACGACATACACTGAGAAGTAGCATTGGATTTTCTGAAAACAAAAGACCAAAACATATTTTAAAAGGTCACCATGAGCTGAGTCAAGAGATTTACAGTGAGGTCAAGGGCAGCCCCACCTGCATAGCCAGATCATATGGCAAAGAACAACAACAATAAAATAAATAAACAAATAAATAAATAGGTCAGCATTCAAGGTGAAATTTCATGCAGGGGAGAAAGAAGAGTATATAAAACTGGAAGCTGGAGGAAAACGTCACCACTTCATTCCCCTTTCAATTCAGATCTTATATTTTTGTGATTTTAATTACTTGTTAGTAATATTGCTGGATTATTCTGGAGAATGTACCATTGGGGTTAGGTTTGGAGTACAAATAGAGGACCCATTCCATATTCATGATGAGAATTACTGGTCTGCTTCCTCTTCCGTGTTTACTCATGTATTTACTATTCCTTTCCTTACTTGGTTTCTATCAGATCCCCTTCTCTCTCCCTCCATTTCTCCCTCTCATCCTCTATTCCTCCCTCTCTTCCTTCCATTCCATCCTTCCATCCATCTATCACCCATTATTAATTCATTGACACATCTACCCTTCTAGTCCCATGCATCTGTCCATTTATCCTTCCATCCTTCCACCTATCCCTTCCTCCCTCTATTTATCCTTTATCTCATTCAACCAAACCATCCATTTTTGTGTCCCAACATGAGGAAGGAGCTCAATAATGTGTGTTGAGAATCCCTAAGCCATTATAACTAGAGTGGTCATACAGTTTATGAATTGAGCAAGGACATGTTATAAGCAAAAGGAGAGGCTGTTAATGATTACACTAAAAGTTAGACATCAACCAGGATGATGCCAAACAAGAAGGGACTGCAGCCATCCTTGATCAAATTCATTAAGGGAAAGTCAAGAGATATACAGGATGTTAAGACTGGCAGCCTTCAGGCTGGAGAGATGGCTCAGTGGTTGGGAGCATGAGTTGTCCTTGCAGAAGACCTCAGTTGAATTCCTAGCACCCACATGGCAGCTAATAATGATGTGTAACTCCAGTTCCAGGGGAATCCAATGCCCTCTCCGACCTCTGTGGGCATTGCATGACACGGGTTTACTTGCACACATGCAGACAGAACACTCATACACATAAAAAAAGAAAAACAAAAGACTGACAGCCTTAAGGTTTCTCTGTATGTTGAACCTGCCCTGACTATCCACACAGTGGTGATGATGTGGGCAGTTTTATTCCTAGGTCACCCTCTACCATCAATTTATTTTTAAATGTGTTTCCCACTTCCTGCTAAAATATGTTTAAAAACTGACTGTTTCCCTTGGTCCAGGGTGTCTTCCTGCAGTTAAGCCACCAACAGCTCCCTTTGGGCCCCTTCATCTAGCCTCAGCCATTTCCATCTCCACTTTTCCTCTTTGAAAGAGGAGACATCATTCATGAGTCTACCTTCCCTCATCCCCAAACCACAGAGGATCCCACGAAAAATGTCATCTGTCTGTGGGAATGTGCTTGCCCAGCACCTTGTAAAGCGCGCCTTCCTGGATCTCACAGCTGCTCGTCTCGTTCTTCAGGCATGTGGTCCTCTGCATATCCACACTGATGTGATACTCTATATGGTCAGTCACCTGTGGGCAGCGAGGGGGAAGGAAGTGGAGCTCAATCCCTTCTACCCAGTGTGGCTCCTACATGAGGAGACTCCCTTACACCATACCCCAGGCTTGGCAAGTTTTGGTTTCCTTCCTGTCTGACTCCAAGCTTTTTGTAGTCATTCAGGGAGACTACCAAAATCCTCTCTTTCTTCAAGGGCTGATCTACTCCTTGGACAGCACAGAAAAGGCCAATTTTTCCAGGAAGGACTGTATATAGGTTTTCTATGGAGGCTAGATAGTAAACAGTAAACAGGTAAGGCTCTGTAGGCTGTGTGGCCTGTGTTGTAATTTCTCAACTTGCCCATGGTAACATGACAACAATCCCAGATGGACCCGGCATGACTAGTTCCAATGACACTACTTACAAAAGTAGGCGGCCAGTAGAGATGGCCTTGGGCATGTGGCCTATTGGCTTTGATCTTGGTTATCATTGAAAGGACAGCTTCATCTAGTCTAGTGAAGGTACGTGTCTCCTAAAATGCCCACTTTCAGTTCAGCGTGGTAGCACATGGCTGTACTCACAGTACTGGGAAGGCTAGGGCAGGAGAACTGAAGGTTGAGAACAACCTAGGTTACACAGAGAGACCTTACCAAAACTAAAACCAAACCGCCCATTTTACAGGAGGCTATATCACAGTGGAGTAGGACTTTACCAGAGCATTGGAGCTCCATATTAACCATGTGAAGGAGAGACAGGGAAACCACACACTGACCTGCTTCTCGATCTTTAGGATGCGGAGAATCCTGAAGTTGTACATGTCCTCACTTTTCTCATTGTATGCGTCTGTGACGTACTGCAAGGCTTTCTTCACCAAAGTCTCTACTGCATTTACTTCCTCAACTTTTATAAACGTTGTCTTCCTTTTTTGGTAGCTGAAGGCCATCAGGGCCACCAGAACGGCCCACAGGAGGTATAGAACCTTCCAGGGTCTGTTCATCATCCTTCAGCTGGGGAAGAACAGGAAGAGTCTCCTCCTTACATCTGGTGGGTCATACTGCCTGCAGCTGCCCTGGCCAAGCTAAAGAGCAGAGTGCGGTGACGCCCACGCTGTCCTGTCCTCTTCCTCCTACCTGCCTGGCTCTACAGACACTTTTCAGTGACTGGCAAGCTCACTCCCACTTTATTTTATTGTTTTTGCATAGCTCATGTTACACACACACACACACACACACACATATACACACACACACACTTTTTGGTGGCTGCTCCCTTAGTAACACCCTTATGTGGTCTGGTATTATCTAAGTGGAACCCAGGTCAGAGGCCTCTATGCATTGAAATAACCTCGGCATGGGCCATAGGACACAGGGGACAGGAAATGAAGGAGACATGGGGGAGACAGGATCCCAGGAAGCAAAGCATAATCGGCCGTACTATGGGAAGGAGAAACTCCCTAGGAGGGGCTGGCTGCTCTGGAAGACCTCACCTCGCCTGGCTCTTGGACACCATTCCCGGCAATTAGGACAAAAGAGCTAAGGACTTGGCAGAGAGAAAAGTAAGCAGTTAGAGAGCCTCACCTCAGAAGCTAGTGACATCTGAGTGTGCCCACGTCTACATTTTAGAGGTAGGTAAGAAGTTCAGTGTATTAGTCAGGGTTCCCTAGAGGAACAGCACTGATAGAATGACTATATATATATATGAAGAAATGATAGAGAATATATATTTATATTAATTAGCTTACTTTGAATAATAACATCTGAATCACATCTGAGAGGCTAAGAGCCTGGTAGTTGCTCAGTCTTTGAAGCTGGGTGAATGCCTCAGGAGTTGAAGTAGTCTCACAGTGGCTTTCTCATAAAAGAGAGGCCAAGAACTCAGTAGTTGCTCAGTTCATGGGCCTGGTGTCTCAGTAGTCCTAGTCTTGTGCCTGAAACCTAGAGGGCTCTGGAGAGCCACTGGTCCTTAGTCAGTGATGGAAGCCTGAAAAAGCTCATTCTGATATCAGCAAGGGAATCAGCAGTAACAACAGAATAAATTAACTTCGTGGCTCCTTCCCATGCTCATCAAGGAGTCAAGGGGGCAGTCAGTTACCCCTGCCACCCATTCAGTCGACCTTAGCTGTATGTTGGGGAGAGCCTATGGATATATAAGCTGAGAATGCCAGGAGGCACTTCTCTCACCATTTTGTATGACTGTCGGGAAGTCACAGGATCAATATTTTAGCGCGGACTTTCCAGAGCAGCCATAAACGGGGGTGGGGGGCGCCCACTCTTCTGTAAATAAACCCCCACCCTATGCTCTGTTAGCAAGCCCAATAAACTCATTAGGATCTTCAAGAAAAAAACAGAGCTAATGGAAACCTTCATTATTCCACCTAAGTTGATTCCATGTTGACAGATCATTTGGTATTTAATTTTTTTTTTTTGGTCTTTTTGAGACAGGGTCTCCCTGTGACCCCAGCTGGCCTGGAGCTTACTGAGTGGGCCAAGCTCTGCCTCCCAGGTGCTGGAATTGAGGATGTGTGTCATTATACCCGCTTTCTTATCCCTGCTTTTCCACCCTTAAACTTCATTGTATATACATTTTTATGTAACTTGCTTCAAGTAATTTCTGGAAAAATGTGTTAAAAATTGCCTCTCTTTGGAATAATAAAAATATTCTTTAAAAAATTAACTTGGTGGTGAGAGGGAAGATCAAACAAGCAAAAGGTGAAAAGCCTTCTTCTATCATGCCCCTTTTTATCTGGCCTGCTTTCAGAGGGTGCTGCCCACATTTGTGTTGGGTATTCTCACATCACTTAAGGTAATTAAGACAAGTCCGCCAAGTGAGGCTTCCTACTCAGGTGATTCTAATTCGCTGAGAATCTTTACTTTTTTACCCTTAAGCTTCATTGTGTATCCATTTTTATGTAACCTGCTTTAAGTAATTTCTGGAAAAATGTGTTAAAAATTGCCTCTCTTTGGAATAATAAAAATATTCTTTAAAAAATTAACTTGGTGGTGAGAGGGAAGATCAAACAAGCAAAAGGTGAAAAGCCTTCTTCTATCATGCCCCTTTTTATCTGGCCTGCTTTCAGAGGGTGCTGCCCACATTTGTGTTGGGTATTCTCACATCACTTAAGGTAATTAAGACAAGTCCGCCAAGTGAGGCTTCCTACTCAGGTGATTCTAATTCGTGGCAAGTTGACATTAAAACCAGCCGTCACATTGAGAGAGGCTGTACATCCTTAGGTGGGAGAGGCCAAGAGCTCTCTGCCTAACATGTTTTGTTACAGTAAGATATGATCCCACAGGAGCTCTAGTTTGGCTTCCAAGAGGAGGATCACAGGAGCAGAGGCTGGCAGGATGCAGTCCTAAGTGGGTGTGCCTTCTCACATGTTGTTAGGATTGCTAGGAAGCCAATAGAGTGTTGTTCAGAAGGATGTAAAGCCAAGACAGGTAGTGAAAGCCCCTGGGATGTGTGTGTACATACCTTCATTCATGCTGACATGTACTTACACACAAACATGTACCTGCACCCCTGCCCCAAATATATACTCATACCGACATACATCTACACACAGACATGCTATGCACAGACACACACCTATGTACTGACATATGTACTTCCTCTCCTACCCCAAGTACAGACTCTCACTGACTGTTGTATAGCTGTTTCCTTTGAATTGAAACATTCCCTCCTGGAGCTCATTAAGACTGCTGGAGCAGGAAGCCAAGTGCTCACATCTTCAAGCAGGCACCAGGAGAAAAGGAAGACAAGCTGCAAGTGGGCAAGTCTAAAGCCCACCCCAGGGCTTTCTCCAGCAAGGCCGCACCTCCTAAACCTCCCAAAGTGGCACCACCAACTGGAAACAAGGTGTTCAAACACTTGGAGCCTATGGGGGACATTCTTATTCAAACCATCAAGGCTTGTCTGGGCGATTCCTGCCTCTGGCATTTGCCAATTGGTTGCTATGGCCCAAGTTACATATATTGAATACATCTTAGCCTTGTCATCTGTAAAATGGTTATAAAATAGTTCCTACCAATGTAGCTGTGAAAACTAAGTGGGATAATTCAGGCAGAGACCTTAGAATGGTATTCTACAAATGTTCCTATTATTGTTGTTACTGACATTTTTATTAGCCCTCTCTCTCATAATTTATGCAATCTTGGTGTTGAATGAGTTGCCTGACAATGTTATACACATGTTTGCACAGGGTTAAGTCGCTTTTCTCTTCTCATCCATTGTGCCCTATTGGTCACCAGGCCCAAAGAATATCTCTTAGAGAGAGGGGCACAGACGTACCCTGGAGCAGGGCTTCATTTTGCTTATGCCTGCACTCCCACGCCTGGCACAGTGTCATTGGTCAAAAACATGTTGAATGAACAAATGCATGAACATGTGGACGAGTGGATAAATGAAATCGTTTCTCTCAGCTGCGTTCCCGTGGTCACTCCTGCATAGTCTTCACTGACTCCACCTGTATTTGGAATATCCTATCTGCTCAGGATATTAGAAAAGACTGGCTTTTCTCCACAGCCAGTTCCCTGCGAGTGCAGCTTGTAGTGGTGTTCCCAGTGCATCCCAGGGGCCTATCAAATAGAGAGGAAACTCACCAGATAACCTGTGTTCAAGCACTGCTGTTTATGGTTTTGTTTATACTTCCATGGTTTATACTCTGTGCTGGTTAGATTTTTAAATTTGTTTTTATTAAATTTTGTTCTATTTCATACAGAATATCTCACACAATCTGAATCATCTTTATAGCCCGCCCCCACCAGGATCCTCCCATAGCCTCCCCACTGAAACCCATATGCTCTGTCCTGGGTGTTAAGGCAGTGTCCCCAGACGTTCCCCAGTGCAAGTCCATTCACTTGCGGTCTAGTCAGATCCCTCTTATCTGTCTATCCAAACACCTATCATTTTATTTCTTTTCTCCTCCTCCTCCTCCTTCTAACAGAGTATAGGGTGGGTTTTTTTTTTTTTTACAGAGGAGTGGGTGCCCCCTATTTATGGCTGCACTGGAAAGTGCACACTCAAATATAGATCCTGTGATTTCCTGACATGTGCTGGCAAACTAGTCACCTGAGAAGAGGGAACATTAATTGAAGAATTTCCTATATCAGACTGGCCTGTGGCCATATCTGTGGAGCATTTTCTTGATTGTTAATTGACGTAGGAGGGCTCAGCCCACTGCGGTGGTGTCATCCCTGGGCAGGTGGGCCAGGGCTGTATAAAAAGGGTAGGAGCAGGACAGGAAGCAGTGTTCGTCTGTGGTCTCCACTTCAATTCCTTCCTCCAGTTCCTGCTTGAACTCCTGCTTTGACTTCCTCAATAATGGACTGTGATGTGGAAGTGTAAGCTAAATAAACCGTTTCCTCTCCAAGTTACTTTTGGTGATTAGTTTATCACAACAACAGAAAAAACAAACTAATACATTCTCTATCAACAGAATAGAAGAATGCTCCTTCCAAAACCCCTGCTGGAACCAGGATCTCATTTCATAACTTTGAAGGCAAACAGAGACACCTTACCAGCTACGGTCTCCAAATATCCATACTGACAAGAAGTCCGTGGCCCAGGAGAGCAAGCCAGTAAGCAGCGTTCCTCCATGGCCTGTGCTTCAGCTTCTGCCTCCAGGCTCCTGCCCTGAGTTCCTACCTTGGGCTCCCTAAGTGATGAACTGTGACCTGGGAGAGGTAAGCCAAATAAACTCTTTCCTCCCCAGGTTGGAATTGATCAGAGTGTGTTGTAACAGCAATTGAAGGCAAACTAGAACAGGAATTGGTACCAAGAGTGGGGTATTGCTGTGACAGATCTGACCCAGTTGTTTTTGGGAGGATTGTGGAAACATTTAGAACTTTGGGCTAGAAAAGCCATTGAGTGCTTAGAGTTTGAAGCTATGGAGCTTGGAACAGTTATACTAAAAGAGCTGTAGATGATAGAGGCCTGGCTTGTGAAGCTTCAAAGGGAAGCAGAGATTATCAGGGCTGTTTGTGTGACATTTTGAGCTGAGAATTTGTGGTTTCTGGTCAGCTGGGGCTGAAGAATCATCAGTGATTAAGAA